TGTCTCAGTGGCAAAGTTAAATTACCACCATTGCCCTTGCCAACAGAGCAATTGCGTTCTTTGCTTACTGGTGAAACACCAGAATCACGTCATTTTCTATCGAACGCTCAGAAATAAAACGGATGCTTTCAAATGACTKCATTTGGAGCAGATATTATTCATGAACGCGGATTCAATCCGACATTCAATATTGAATCTAATTTCGTAATTGACTCTACAGATCCAAGGCCAAATTCACCATCGAATTGGATCATTGCTACCACTTGAAGACGCAGAACATAAATTCCTTAAAATTTACTTCATGGGCAATGTGGAACATCAACTTGATCAGCGSCGAACAAATAAATACGGAAATGAGAAGAGGAATTCTTCGCGATTKGCAGCAGCTGCTTCATGAACATCATGCATTGGTTCGGTTATTCAAAACTGCGTTGGATCGCATGCTACATGATGACTATAAAGTCGTGATTAGAGCGGATAACGACCTGCTGGAACGCACGAACACCAATTTAATGCTCTAACAATAGATGACGTTGCAGTTGTGATTGTTGGCAAAAGCCGGGAATCACGCGATATTGTGCTCACACGTCGGGACTCTGGGCAATTGCAACAAATATCCGAAACTCATCGTTCATACGATGCATGCAAGAATAGATATCATAATAATTTTCATTTCAATATGACACTAATRTCACTGATATCATTTTAGGTGAGGAAAATATCAGGAAGGTCAGCGGAATGAAATTTTACGCGTATCGTTTGATGATTCGGCAAAATATTGACAACTATTTGCTTCGATTTGGCCGATTATTTCCGCAATTTTGCGTTGATATGTATGCCAAAATAGAAGCGGAGCGCCTCCTTTTTATAACTTTAAATCAAACCAAACAACTTACGGAGCAGTACATTCATTTACGCGATGCAAATAGCACGTTCGTTGGCAATCCACGTCATAGGCACGAATATACGCAAGATGCAATGACATATGTAAGGCATTACGGCCGTCCAGACCTGTTCATCACCTTCACGTGCAATCCGAAGTGGATAGAAATTTCAACTGCTGCTTCCTGGCCAAACATCAAGTGATCGGCACGATATATGACCGCACGTGTGTTCAGGCAAAAAATCTGGTCGCTCATGCACTATATTGTTAGGCATCGTGCCTTTGGGGATACTGGATGTTGGATGTATTCCATTGAATGGCGAAAAAGAGTGCATGGTCGATGGCAAATGTTCCAAGCATTATCCACAAGATTTGACTGCTGATATCATCACTGGCAAAGATGGTTATCCACTGTATCGACGTCGATCTTCTGATGATGGCGGTAGAACAATCACAGTCAGGGGCGCATTATAASGTGGATTATTGCAATTCAGTGAAGTCCATCAAGTACATCTGCAAATATGTCACGAAGGGCAGTGACATGGCGGCTTTTGGTCTTCAAACTCCTGACCCCAATGATGAAATCACGCGCTATCAAATTGGTGGATGCGTATGCTGCAATGAGGCGATTTGGCGTATATTCTCATTTCCCATTCATGAACGCTATCCGAGTGTTACACATTTGGCAGTGCATCTGGAGAACGGTCAACGAGTTTATTTCACCCCAGCAAATGCCGCTCAACGTGCTCAAAACCMACCAGCGACAACATTGACCAGTTTCTTCTCGATTCGCCAAAGTGATCCGTTTGCACGTGCGTTTCTTCACTCCGAGATGCCGCGTTATTACACTTGGAATGCTTCATCGAAGAAATTTCAACGTCGAAAGCAARGTAATGTAGTACCTGGTCATCCGGATGTACATTCTACTGAAGCTCTTGGCCGTATTTATACAGTTCATCCGAAAAATGATGAATGCTTTTACTTACGACTATTGCTGGTGAATCTCATGTCAGAAGACATTTTCCATCGAGTTCGTGTCCATTCAGAGAATCCCCATCTTGATATGAATGATGCACAACCAGGCTTTGGTTTTGATAGAGACATGTGTTACCTCATACGCGGCAGTTTGTTAGCCAGATTAGGAATGACGTCGCCTGATCGTGAAGTAAACAACGAGTTGCAACGTGAACGTGAATACTACACAAACGTTTTCACCCACGGTTTTATTTTAGTCTAGTCTATGCATATGTTTATAATTCCCACGACTGTATCTATTTTATTATTTTTTGGTTTTTAGTACATTTATCTTAAACATTGCAATGTATGCTTTTTACCTGTTTTTATTTTCTAGTTTTTAGTTTTTATTTCGCATTCTATTTAATTCATTTAGTGCTTCATTATTGCAAGGTTTCTTGTTCGTTAGTTTATTGCAGTCCAACTTCTCTATACATAGTCCCTGCAAAGATCTTACTCTACTAAGACCCACGTAGGCTTGACCTTCTTCAAACAGTTTTGCACCTAAGTATATTGACATTTTATTTGATACCCATATTGGTGTAATTGATAAAAAATTGTTACACAGTACAACAGCTAATCTGGGGGGTGAGAAATTCCAAGTCAGGGTGATGGTACTAGGTCAGTATAGTAAAACCCTCAAAGGGTTTGGCGTTCGTATGTGTCAGTTTTTTTTTTATGACCTTTTAAATTTTTTCACCATGTCCCCCCTTTTGTTTCACTACAGTTCGGGGGGGTATGGGGAGGGAGGGGGATAAAAATTAATTTGCGAATTAGTTCACACCTGGGGCTTTCAGGAAAGCCCTCAACCTCCCCTCTATCCCCACCAGGGGCTGAGCATTAGCCGTCTTAGATTTCAATTTTGCATAGTAAATTGTATTCTACTTCTTGAGACCTTTCATTTGATACTCATATTGATGGGATTGATAAAACCTACGTTATCCGCCATTTTGTAGCGGCGGCCATCTTGAATTTATAATGATAATGAATAAACATAATTGTATTGTCACCAAAACCCAAAGTGTATACAAAATTTCAGATTAATCGTTTGACAGGAAGAGGGTGAAATTTGAATTACTAAATTTGATCCAAGAATAAATAATAATAATAAAACAAACGGGGTGAGCTAAATAAAACCATTTAAAAATAGCCAGTATTTCAGAAAAACTATGTTTTGTAACTAGGAAACTTGATGTGTCGAAAATAATTATTAAATAAGGATTAGTTTTATAATTATTTGAAAGAAAAGCTTAGATCTTTTATCTATCGATTGAGGCAGTACGAAATCTGACAGATCAGCTTGTATTCATATATATTGTTAAAGTCTTAATAATTATTGGAAAATCATTATATATACATTTTTTTTAATTATAGAACGGGGCGCTGCAGCCAAAGCCGCTACAAAGATTGCCGCTGGTTCTAATGGCAAGGTAAGATATAAACTGTAGCTTTGTTGCTTTATATTGATTTTCTCTAATTATATAGATTGTTGCTGTAATTGGTGCCGTCGTTGATGTTCAGTTTGACGATGACTTGCCTCCAATTTTAAATGCTTTAGAGGTGGAAAATCGCGCTCCCCGCCTTGTGTTGGAAGTCGCTCAACATTTGGGAGAAAACACAGTGCGTACGATTGCTATGGATGGTACGGAAGGTCTGGTGCGAGGACAAAAGGTTCTGGATACTGGTTACCCAATCCGTATTCCAGTAGGAGCAGAAACTTTAGGCCGTATCATCAATGTTATTGGTAAGTTAAGTATAGGTATAGTTGCTTGGTAGTGAAATTAAATTCAGTTTTGTTTAAGGTGAACCAATTGATGAACGTGGTCCGATCCCAACCAATAAGACCGCCCCAATTCACGCTGAAGCTCCAGAATTCGTGGAAATGTCAGTCGAACAAGAAATTCTGGTAACTGGAATAAAAGTGGTCGATTTGTTAGCCCCTTATGCAAAGGGTGGTAAGATTGGATTGTTCGGTGGCGCGGGTGTCGGTAAAACTGTATTGATTATGGAGCTGATTAACAATGTGGCGAAGGCTCATGGTGGTTATTCGGTGTTTGCGGGAGTAGGCGAACGCACTCGCGAAGGAAATGATTTGTACAATGAAATGATTGAGTCTGGCGTCATTTCCTTGAAGGATAAGACATCAAAGGTCGCTTTGGTATACGGTCAAATGAACGAACCACCAGGTGCTCGTGCACGTGTTGCATTGACTGGATTAACTGTTGCCGAGTACTTCCGTGATCAGGAAGGACAAGATGTGCTGCTTTTCATTGACAACATATTTCGCTTCACTCAAGCTGGTTCAGAAGTGTCTGCTTTGTTGGGTCGCATTCCATCTGCTGTGGGTTATCAACCAACACTAGCCACTGATATGGGTTCTATGCAGGAACGTATTACAACAACGAAGAAAGGTTCCATTACCTCAGTACAGGCCATTTATGTGCCAGCTGATGATTTGACTGATCCCGCTCCAGCAACAACATTCGCTCATTTGGATGCTACAACTGTATTATCGCGTGCTATTGCAGAATTGGGCATTTATCCCGCGGTGGATCCCTTGGATTCCACATCTCGTATCATGGATCCCAACATCATTGGTCAAGAGCATTATAACGTAGCTCGTGGTGTCCAGAAAATTTTGCAGGATTATAAATCATTGCAGGATATTATTGCTATTTTGGGAATGGACGAGTTGTCTGAAGAAGATAAACTTACAGTTGCTCGCGCTCGCAAGATTCAACGTTTCTTGTCTCAACCGTTTCAGGTCGCTGAAGTGTTCACTGGTCACGCTGGAAAATTAGTCCCATTGGAAGAAACTATAAAGGGATTCAATGAAATTTTGTCAGGTGAATACGATCATCTTCCTGAAGTAGCTTTCTATATGGTTGGACCCATCGGAGAGGTCGTGCAAAAGGCGGAACGCTTAGCTAAAGAAACTGCTTAGGGTAATGAAAAATTAACTGTAAAATGTAAATAATGGGTCGTCAGATAACTCATAGTAACAATCTAAAGTATCCTAAATATAATTATGAAAAAAGTCCTAGTTGTAAATCAGTGACTATATAGAAATCCTAGTTTGTTTTACATTGCTTATCCAGTGCTTTGGCTTAAGATCGAAAAATTTCATTAATTTTTTTTTATGAAAAATTTAAAATGTTTTGTTTATAATGGGTTGTTTATAATTTAAAACTATTTTAATAAATTTTTATGTACAAATCCATAGACAGTTCAAAACTTTGTTGAGTTCGTGGAGTCAAATTGCGAAACAGGATGAGGCAAGACACAATTTCCAAATATTGTAATAGGATTATGGAACCGAGGGATGTGTTTCTAACATAATAAGTCGGTACAATCTACAACGCTTAGATATATAATTTTTGAAGCCATTGTTCCTGTTCCGTTATTTGTGTTTTTTCTTTAAATTCGTGTGTAACCTAAAGTTTTGTATTACGTATGAAGTTGGGCTTACAGATCTACGTGAAAAACACGTTGTAAAACGATGTTCAATGGCATGCCATTTCTATCACACCAAGAAACTGGGTTGTTTAAGTCTGTTTGCAACTGACATCTTTCGCTATTCGAGGTGAATGATTTAAAAAGTTTTACATCGTCAGCATACAATAAAACATTTGAGAACCTAACAACAGATGATATGTCATTAATAAATAACGATAACAAAATTGGACCAAGATGGCTGCCTTGAGGAACGCCTGAAGGAACATTGATTATGTCAGAAAAAGTATCCTTAAATATAACTTGTTGAATTCTATTACTAAGATAAGAAGCAACCCATTTTAGAAATGTTGTTTGAAAACCAAGAAGATCAAGTTTATTCAAAAGAATTGAATGGGACATTTTATCAAAAGCTTTACTAAAATCTGTGTATATAACATCAGTGTTCTTATTCTCCCTAAAGCCGTTGATACAAATTCAAGCAAATTAGTTATTGTAGATTTCTCTTTACGAAAACCGTGCTGAGAACAAGAAATTAGTGGAGATATCCGGAAGGTTATTATGTCGTCTGTTATAATTGCAAATAATTTAAATAGGTGCATTAATGACAAAAAACGGACAGTAGTTGTGTTGATGCGGAACATTTTTTGAAGATTTAGGAGACTAATTTGACTTAAAGAATTCAGCGAACATATTAGAAATGGGGGATGTTCAGCAAGCAAATAACTGCGGCAATATTGCAACCCTGATGTTTTTTTTGCAGATACTCAGCTGATACTTTAACAAATATTTTGCGCGGCGTGCAGGTGCATTGAAGAAGTGAAATTTAAGAAGACCTAAAAATTAATTATTTAATAAATTTAACTTGGTGGACAGTGAGTGTAGTTTGCTTCTCAAATACAAAAAAAATAAAGAAACACAGTTTTTTGCGTAAAAAAAAGTGGCTTATGACCGAAATTTTAAAGAAGAGGGCAATAGTAAAATCGCAAAACTTATTTAAAACAATTCAATTTTATCCTCCGGATATCCGGATTTTCGGATGTCCCGTGAAACATTTGATGTAAGTTTTCTGATTTAAATAATTGCCTAAATAAACACATACATAAATACTTCGTAGGATTTAAAGAGCGGCTTGGAACCTTTTTGGTTAACGTCACGCGGGGAAAATTCTATAGATTAGGCTTTGCATATTACCACGGTAGAGGAGGAGTRGAGTCACTATCAGCTGATGTTATGTAAACAAAGCCACAGCTGAGAAGTRCCACTGTAGAAACGTCAAGGGGAGTCCGGGGTTGAGTTTCTATTGGAATCCAAGATGGCCAACTTTTAACCGGAAAATGGTTGCATTGTGTTATTTTCTAAAAAATAATGGAAAAATTGTCCCAAAAATATTGGTTATATATAAAACTGTAATATCTTTTCAAAAGAAAACATTTTTATTTTAATATACATATATTTTTAAAGATGAGAACAATATGAGCAAATACATGAAAAATTAAGTGTTTTATTTATGCCTCGTTTTAATTGAGGTAAGTTCACCACAGAAAAATGTTATGAACAAATAAGCAACCATGCCGAATGGTAGGGTTCAGAATATGCTCATTCAGAGCCATAATCATAAAGCAGGTTTGTGCAAGACAATTTGTTTGAATTTATTTCATGGAACAATCCTTTACAATGGTTTATTTAGTTATTTGGATCTGGAAGAAGTGTTTAGAAATTTCCATTGGAAAGATAAATAACAGATCGACTGGGATTTTATTCCAATAAAAGTACGAAAAAACTAAACATGGCTTCGTCAATATTGCTGCGTAATGGGTCAGGTGGTGTTCCAATTTTATGATTTAAGAGATGAAAAAGCGACACGCGATGCTGTGAAGTACTCAAATGTAGTTATCAACTTAGTTGGTAGTGAATTCGAGATAAAATTTTAAATTCAATGACGTGCTCAATGCACGTCGCATTGCTAGGTAAGCTAAAATTAAACTTTATTTCAATAGATTTACCATGTATTTTTTAATAGAATCAGCAAAGAAGCTGGTGTACAACATTTGATTATTTGTCTGCCTTAAACGTTAGTCCCCAACCAATGAGCTTTGTGCTTGAGGGTGGAAGTAACTTTTTGAAGAGCAAATACTACGATGAATGTTCTGTTCGGATGTTGAACAAGCTATTGTCAATTGCGCTAAGGATCCCGATCAAGCTGTTGGGTAGGTTTTTAGCAAAATTGAATTTACATACTTTCCAATATGCTAAACACTCAACATATACCTTGCAGACCAAAGCGTTACCAGTTGAGCGAATTAAATGACTGATTCCATCATGTTATGCGCAAAGATGAAAAATGGTGGGATACCGTCGTTAAGACATGCGTTGTGATCCTACTTTCCTATTGAAAGTTAAGTTCACTGAGCTTATCTCTCCTGGACAACCTATTGGCGAGCTACATATTGGTGAGGAATCGATCGCGAATGTATTACCGATGTCATTTGGGTGTACCATTGACCTCCATGGAAGAGCAAGTAACATGGGAATTGCGACCATATCGAGCTGCGCAATATTATAATGCCGAATTGGGAGAGTGGGGGGACCCAGCTCCACCAAAACCGATAAAACATCGGGAAGAACTACGTATGTTTGCATAAAACTACTACAATGGCAGCAACGCTAATAACAACAGCCAAGCAAATAATAAACAACACTCATCAAATAAAAGTTGGTGGCCAAGCATCGATTTGAAAAGAAACATCTACACGAATTACAATTCGTCTTTACATCTAGTGAATTATGGTCGATTATGAACGATTTGGAAATTGATAATTAAACTTTAAAAAACAAAAAAATTTAATTTGGTTAATAATGAACCGCTATTAAAAATAAAGGAATTTGAGTTGTATTTTTATTTTGTCCAAACAAGTTATTATAGATTAGGGTAATTTCAAATGGAGTATATTTCGAACACACATTTTATTTATTTTTTTTTTAATATTTATGCCAGTATTACTATTGAGCATGGCAAAATAGTGTTGCGTAAGCGAATTTAAACTACTTTTTACTACTATAGAGATATTGCAAAATCAAAAAATAATTCCCTTAAGAATCCTTTTTATTTAAAAACTTAGCTTAGAACTAAAAAATAATATGGTAAATCTGTTAGGATGGTCAAACACTCCATTTGGGAACATGTAGGATTCCTGATCGCCGGCGTATAGCTAAATTCTGACACACAAAAAGTGTATGTAGTTTGTGATTTCAAAATTTTATACTTAAAATATAAAAAACATGGCTATTATAATTATCTCTTTATTTATCTTACAATAAAAATTGTGCTTTACTAATTATTATGACATGTAATACCAAATTTTTCGACAATAGTTATCTCCTTTGGTCCACTCATCAAAAATAATTTCCAATTTGTTCATGAATAAGTTAACTAAAAAACTTAAAAATATATAGCATATTAATTTATATCAAGAAGATATAATTAAATCTTTTGGTAATAGCATTAAATTTCTTTCTATAAGCCAAATTTAAAATAGTATTTACTAATGTATAAATATAGTACTGTAAATTTATAATTTAAAATTAAAGCATTTTTGCTTTACGCAACCCGTTTTAACCTCTCGCCACCCTTATTCACCAGAGGTGGCCATGATGTTTTTATTGTGAACGTACTCTTGGGGGGTAGGTTCAGGACTGTGAATGGCTCTTTTACTACGGTGAATGGTGATATTACCTTGTGGAAGCTGAGTAATAGTAGATTCACTTATCGTGAACTATCAGATAAATTTGATATTTCAAAAGGGATTGCCCACAAAATTTTTCTTAAGACGATCAAGACAATTCGCAAGCTGAAAAATGAAATATGCTGGCCATCAATTTCCCAGCAGCAAACCTTTCGTAGTCGGCTGTATGTTGATGGTTAAGTTTGCATTTGCAATGTTTAGGGCATATGCGACAGCACATTTCGTTTCTTGGATATTTTCATCGGCTACCCAGGGAGTTGCCATGACGTCAACGTATGGAAAAATAGTCTGATATACAAACGAATTACGTCTGGAGAGACACAACTTAAAAAGTATGCTATAATTTTACCTGACTCAGCTTATCCTCTTTCAAAATTCAAATATTTGATCGCTCCTTATAGAGATGATGGGCATCTGTTGAGAGAGGAGAAACAATTTAATTATTATCTAAGTTCAACTCGAGTATTCATAGAACAAGCTTTTGGGATTTTGAGGGGAAAGTTCAAAATTTTATTTTATTCGATATATGGAAGAGGTATCCAAAGTAGTATTAGTTTGTGTAATTCTGCATAATTTAATGATGCGGAACAATTTTAATGATTCTGAGGTCAATTTTCCATTTGAAAATTTGGAAACATTTAATGAAAACGATGCTGAAACGCCTGAAAACATAAATGATAACTAAACTAACCAAGATATTATCAAAATAAATAATTTAAAAATGTTGTTTGTTTCTTAGATGTTTTATTTTTTAAATAAAAATATTAGTAAATAAATATATGTACATGTTATATTTTATTTCATTTCAATTACTTCAAGTACAGGTC